GGTAATAGGCAGGCAATCGCTATGCTATATTTCGTCATTCTTCTGAGAAGCGTGGTTTCCGCTAAGCTATTGCGAAGAATTTTGTGCCAATTGTTCATGCAGTTGCTGACGACGATGAGGAATTATGCCTGAAGAGGGTTTGGGCCACAATTAACCGCTGCAAAAAAAAAGCTTTCGTAATGGGTTGGAGCATTGGACGATGCACTCGTTATGCCATTCGTATTGTGTGACGACTGCTTCTTCTTTCGCTGTTTTACAACGTTTTATAAATAGTACTAACACGATTGCTTTCCCAACATCAAGCTTGCCTAAGGCAAGTTTGTCATTAAGTCCCAAACACCGGCTTGACTCAGTGGTAGAATATTAAGCTGGCACCCAGCGGATCCGTGTTCAAGCACCACTGTGTCATTGGTACTGGGTTATCTTGCTAATTTCGCGTCATGTGGTGACAGACACAGGTGGTGGCGGTGGGGGACAACTATGGCTCTGCGCGAAACTCCAGTTGTGATCTCATAACAGCTTTCGCGGTAAAAGCGTATTAGACACAGAAACTCTCACGGGCTAGCGGGACAGGAAAGAGCAATCGACTGAGACAAAAATTAAAGTGGTTTTCACCTTCCAGTTGTCTTGGGTGACGCATAAAGAACCGTGCAAATTTATTAGAGTATTAAAAACACAATAGTACAAAACTCGGCCGATCCCACGTGTCGTGGGAATTGGTTTCATGGGAAGCAGCGGCTAAGTCAATGCGAATGATGAATTTTCTTTTTGCCTTCTATGCAAATGTAATGACTTGGATCGGTGTTAAGAGCAGCGTTTGTCTGCGATTCGGGGTATTGCTTGGAACGTTCACTACACTATCGTTTGCTGGTGACGACAATGAATAACTCATGCTCTGACAGAACGTCAACACGTACGTTAAATCATGAGCGTGAGTATTCAAAAGGCGAAGTGCACTTCACCATGTCACTATAGCACAAGCCACTTTCGAAAGGTTATTCCCGATGGGCATATTCCCGAGGTGTTTCTCCCTCTCTGCCACTGCTCGAGCGATAATAGTTTGCTAAATCATAGGAAGAGAATTGTATTTTTTTGACTGCTTTAAATATGTAGCAAACATTAGAACCACAACTGACATTACCCTGGCCGGTACATTGTGTAATAGGTTTACATAAGTAAACATTATTCCTATGATGTAAAGTCGACAACTAAAGCTGTAAAGTCGACAACTAAAGCTGGAACTCATCAGCGTACGTGCTTGGGTGAACTTGAACTTTATCGTCAAGGAAACTTCAAAGCTTGGGAAGATAACATGAAAGGTGAAGATACAGCTAAAACGAATAGGCGCTGACTTTCAGCTGATCTTCAATTGAAAAAAGGCACACATATGTAGTGAAAAACTGCACTGCGCAGAAGAGCATGTAAAACCCACAGCGCATGGAAGCTAAGAAGGCGAAAAAATGAAAAAAAGACTCTTTCTTACGGAGGATTCGCATATGAATCATAGTATACTTCTTTTTCCTGCTGTAAGTTTTTTCATCACTTGTTAGCGTTCATTAGTGGTGTTTGTCACATGTTCTTTCGCGCAAGGCAGTTTTTCACAATACATATATGTGTCTTTTCTTAAATAAGTATCACTTTAAAGTCAGCCTTTGTCTGTGTCAGCTTTCTTTTGATGCATTCGTGGCTTTTCCCATTCTGTTGAAGATTTCTCGACTAAGTACTGTTACCCGAATGGAAGTTGCACCAACGTTACGCCGACATATTGCTTCTTTTTTAACATGTCTGCCGTCTGTATGTGTTTGCACGTGAATGTCTGTATGTAAATGCAACAACAATTAGCGAGAGCGTGCTGTCCCCGAACATCTTTCGTTCAAGCGGGTAGCAATGGCTCGCACTCGCCGTGCTTAGTAGGCAAGTGGCGTTATGCCCTCTTTGAAAAAAAATCACAGCATATCCATTAAGTGAATGAAGATGAGTGGGGCGAAGCGTCTGTCTGCACGTCCATTCACCCGTCCGTCCATTCGTCCATCAATTCTTGCTTCTGTCCGTGCGTCCATGATTCTGTTAATTCCTCCATGAGTGCGCCCGTGCGCCCGACCATCTGTATGTTCGTGCATGCTTCCGTCCCTCCATGTGTTCATCCATCCATCCCTGCTTCTGTTCCGTCCGTGCTTCTGCTCATCCATCTATCTGTTCGTCCGTGCTTCCATCTGTCCATCCGGGTGTCCTTCCGTTCTGTCCATTTATCCGTCTGTGTGCCCGTTCATGCTTCCATTCATGTTTTTGTCCGTCCATCCGTCTGTGCATTTGTCCATGCGTCTGTCATTCCATCCGTGTCTGTCTGTCCGTCCGTTCGTCCGTCCGTCCGTCTGTCTGTCTGTCTGTCTGTCTGTCTGTCTGTCTGTCTGTCTGTCTGTCTGTCTGTCTGTCTGTCTGTCTGTCTGTCTGTCTGTCTGTCTGTCACTCACACTAGTGCCAATTGCACAGTTAGTCATACAAATAGTTTGTTTGGAACCGGTCACAAAGAGACATGCATTGACTGACCCACAACTCCAAAAGCTTCACCCCTGAAGCTCGGGCATCGTGCTGATGCTCTGAAAGTGGATACACAAAGACGGGACAAACCTAAGCAAAGCGCGAACATACACGAAAAATTCGCAGCATACCCACGTAGTGAATGACGAAGAATGGGGCGAACTGTTCAACTGTTCGTCAATCCGTCTAATGCCACTAATGCCATATAGTGATATAATTTCCTTAAAATTTGCCCACAATGCCAACCAGAGGAGGCTACATACTACTACAACAACAACAAGATCAACTACTACTACTACTACTACTACTACTACTACTACTACTACTACTACTACTACTACTACTACTACTACAACTACTACTACAACAGAGGAAGAAACGGACCACATCCTAGGGAGCTTCGCATATAAAACGATGCAATAAGGTTCAGGTGCAGTCGCACTATCGTGCGATGTACAGCTTCAGTCGCACAACGCCCACCATCTCTAAGAGGTGCCTTCGACGCCAGCCCAGTGAGGAATTGCCTTGTAGTTCACATCACTAACGCATGGAAACCTTTTGTAGGGTCCAAAGACTAAGCAGTTTCCCTGATCTGACTGAAGTCCACACCCAAACGTGATCGCATGAATGATAGCTAACTTGTGATTGGCGAACGTTATAGCGACGTGCATCTGTGCTCTGCTGTTGCGTAATACGTAGACGAGCTGATTGGCGCGCTTCTTCAGCGTACTGCAAAAGTTGCACAGTGTCAGGTGTGAGCAAAGCGTCGTAATTGTGGAATGGCATACTGCAAAGTCTGGACTCCACGTTCATATAGACAAGAATAGCATGAATCGCGTAGTTTCCTGAATAGCAGCATTATACGTTGATGTGACTGCGGTAGCCCAAGGTGTCAAACCATATGCTAGACATCTACACACATGAATAACATGTCAGCGATGGTATCGTTCAGTCGCTCCGTGAAGCCGTTGTTCGGCGGATGATATGCCATGGTTTTTCGAAGGCGTGTGCAGCCGAGTTTCAATACTTCATGAATGAGCTGGGCCGTGAAAGTTGTTCCTCTGTCTGTGATTTGCACGACGGGGTGCCATGTTGCAGAGCGATCTAGTTCATAGAAAACTGGGCATCATCGGAAGCCGTAGCGCATTCTAGTGCCATTGTTGCGGCATGTTTAGTCAAACAATTTGTGACTACTATGATTCACTTCTTCTCGGCAGAAGACAGCGGAAAGGGCTCCAATAAATTCATTCCTGTATTTGATCAAATGGTACCCTAGGTGGTGATATTTATTGAAAAAGCTCAGCGGGCTTCAGCAACGGGCATTTGCGCATTGACATTCCGGGCAGCGTTTTACATATGGCTAAGTGAATGCTAGATAGGCCAGCAGTACGCTTGTCAAACTCTGGCATGAGTTCACGAGGAACCTAAGTGACCAGATTTGGGCACATCGTGGCAATATGCCAAGTTGGAATCTTTTCAAGAGAAAGCCGTAAGGTTCATATACCACAGATACGATTGCCACTTCTCTCCTTCATCGCACGCACATAATTCATCGCTCGGAACACTAACACACCAACCCACGTGCTAACGGCTTGTCACTCTACATAAGGCTGTACATGAATCATCGGTAATCGTGGTGCCAGTCTCAATTGTGAAGCTTCCTACTCGTGCTTTCATAGCGATCATCCCCTTAAAACCTTGTCTCATTCCGCCCATATTTAAATACTCCCTTTTCCCATTCACCGTAGAAATCTGAAATTGGTTGGATGGTGCACCTCGCCAGTTACCTCCCACACAATTTGCAGAAAGCATTAGTCAGCATGTGCCTCTAGAGTTCTGAATGAGTACTGTGCATTTTTATATTGGTGCCTTTTTCTACCATCTAACAAGTGTTAGTTGACGCCATGTTGGTTTGTTATACGCGAATTTGTACAACTTTCTTTTCATTTGCTGGTTAATTCACGCAGTTTAGCATTCATTTTGTATGCTAATTTGTTTCATGTTGTGCCTGATTTCCAAGCAAATTTTGTATCCCCCGGCAATATCTCGCAATGTGACGGCAGTATTTGTTAATAAAAAACAAGATAATAAAAATTATGATCAAAGTGTCTTTTATTCGCCCTAAATGCGTATGGTAATGAAAAATGTCACCGATGAGTGTTCCCACTACTAATAAAACTGGTTAAACTGGCACTTGCCAAAATAAGTCTCTACGTTTTTTTTCGTTTTTTAATAGTGCTATCATCTTTTTTAGGGTTTTAAAACTGCGTTTTACTGCATATATTCTCAGAACACAATTTCTGTGTTGCGTAGAGGGTCCAAGTTCAGAAACTACAATTAGCAAGAATGCGCCGTAAGATTTTCTTCACACTTTTTCTCGCATATGATGTATGGTAATATTGACAGAATATATATCACTGGAGCTCTGCTTCTGAGTAAAAGGCAGCCTATTGGGAACTTACGCTAACTTCTCCTTTGTGCCGCCCGATGTCGACCGAAACTCTGTTCCAGAATCCTTCGAGAGATGGTTTGCCCAGAGCGGTGCGGGTCCAAACTTGCATAGTATATCCAGCCGCATTCATATACAGGTCCACGTCAAGGTGAGCTCCTGGGTAAATCACCGAATTATGAGAGGCGTTAGCTATCGCCCCTCTAGCAGCGTAGATATTTGGCAATGTTGTTATGTGTTTCCAGGTTGTCATTTTCCAAATTAGCGCAACGATAAATGGGGGATAGGGATATAGTATTCCATTATGGGATTATTTTATGCAGAAAGACGGTTCAAACGCACAGTGCATACTTTTTCAAAATAATTTACTTTTTAATGCAACTTAGTTTTTGTTGCGGTAGCCAATGAAGAAATACTCTACCGTTGTTTCTCAGTATTCTGCTTGAATGAAAAAAATTGCGCATTTCTTTCGCTACGAACCTTCTCAGCAACCCAACTCCATTTATCATGCCTGAACAACACTTTCACAAAGAACTGCATTATAAAGGGTGCTAACAGCTTTTAAGTGTCATTCCTGCACAGCTCAATTCTTATATATATTTATGTTCTAATTACACTGACTTTCTATTTGTTCTTTTTCTGCTTGAGAATTATATTATTGCATATTATGACCGTTTAAGAGTAAGAACTAAAGCTAAAACACTGGCATTGACTAAGTGAACACGCAACAATAGATCCCGTTCTTATGATGGTGAGCGCTAACAAGACTCAAAACACAAGAAAATACATAACAAAAGGTGCCTACAAACTGAAAGTTCAATAGATTGAGACACAGCTTCGCTGCAAGGTTGAAAGAGGCAATGCAGTAGCAGAAGACTGGAATGTCACGCGAAGAACGGCAGGTAGCTTCAAACGCACTGTGCGCTGCTCAAGCCTAAATGGCTGGGAAAAGACCATACACAAGCCAAGCGCGTTCAAACGTTCACAAGTCAACACTCAATGAGTGCTGCTGAAACAGCAAGAAGGACGCTCGATACGTATACGCACAGACGGACACAAGGCGAGCGCGAATTCATAACGTTCAGAGCTGGACACCTAACCACCCTCTTCGAACAGATAGAAGGACGCATCAAAACGCATAGATAGATAGATAGATAGATAGATAGATAGATAGATAGATAGATAGATAGATAGATAGATAGATAGATAGATAGATAGATAGATAGATAGATAGATAGACAGACAGACAGACAGACAGATAGATAGATAGATAGATAGATAGATAGATAGATAGATAGATAGATAGATAGATAGATAGATAGATAGATAGATAGATAGATAGATAGATAGATAGATAGATAGATAGATAGATAGATGGCCGTCTCACCCCCACTGTGAAAGTTGTACCAAAATACGAGGGCACACAGTTTCCCTGTGTTTCTAATCGTTGGTGACTGGATGCTGGCTCGACCATGTTGCAGCGTCATTGTGCTGTTTCCATAAAGCAGCAAATAGTTACCTGCAGAAAAAAAAGAACGTAGAATTATTGAAAGCACAGCTCACTCTTTATGACTACTATGGGGCTTCGGGACCTTAAAGAGACCCTGCAACACTGTTTGAGCATGGTCAGAGAGCGCTGCTGATGGGTGGTAGGGGCCCTCGAGAAGGCGCGAGCCAAATATATTGTAGCGCAGCACGTGGCCTGGAATTCACAATAAATTATCAAAATCAACTAAAATTGCTTCCTCTTCTCTCAACAAATCACGGAATAAGCCCAAAAACTACTCGTAGAAAGCCATACTATCAGCCATTGGCTGATTTGAACATGGTGCGCTGGGTCATTACAGAACTCGCAGCGGGAGGCCGTCAGTTTTCCATGCGTGGGCGCGCGATCACACCGAAAAAGTCACGTGTTTGAACGAACAAAAAAGCTAAAAGTACTCAATGTCACAAGGTGCGAGTGACGTTTATTTTTGTCTGTCACATTCCTGCCTGCTTAGCTTCCAGCGCTTTCGTCGGGACGTGAGAAGAGAGAATGTGATTGCAGCGTGTGACAAATCCTTGTAACTCCGCTCATACTAGACTAATTCTTAAGCTTTTTGCGGTGTTGAATTTTTGAGGCAATAAGCTATTTTAGTGAATTAGTTCTATGGTTACTCAAAAGTGTGTTTCAGGGCCCTTTTAACACAACAATGTCGTTGACAGCCAAAATGACAGAGACAACTGCGGGAAGTAGTGTTGAATTATGTTATATGTTGCACACTTCGCTGACAAGAAATGCTGTTTCGCAGACGGGGATGGAGGCTTAATGGTTTTGTGCATGATCTCGCATTCTTCTTTTTAGTAAAGTACAAATACCATATGTGTGTTTATACGAAGCTTATTTCTATTTTTTCAGTAGTCGTGACACTCAGGGGGCAAGTAGCCATGCCAATGTTTGCGATTCCTTAACTTGCTGGATTTGGTTAAATGATAACAAATTGCTCTCCTAATGCATCTATCGGTGCAAAAACCATAAGTGAGGTGTTGAAAATTAATTCTAATAGATAAACAAAAATAATTGCCGCAGCAGAAATTATCATCTGGCACTGCTGGTTTTTACTCAACGTTACCATCACTCTAAATGAAAACAAAAACGGGAATTCGTTATCACATGGTTACACACGCGTAAACCGTGGGAACAGTAGATGAATTTTCAATGCACAACTTTCATACCAACGTATTCCTAATATTGTGTTTTGTACTATAAAATAAATCCAAAACGAAGAAATACGGCAGCATTTGAAGGCACACTACAACATGTTTCAAATTTGTCATGAAATGGCATCATTGAAGCAGTGTATTACCGACACGATTCAACTTCTACATTTTCTTTAGAATCTGTCCAAATTAAGGGGCTGGTCGCACACAATAAGAGCTGCCCATCTCCTTTCGTGCGAGAGGGCACCTTTAAAGTGACATAGAAAGAATGAGTTGAAGGCAAGAGCTTACATAAGTTCGTAAGCACGCGTGGTATTATGAAGTACTTCTTTTTTTTTTTTTTTTTGAACGTGTGACAGCCTGACTTCAGTGTGGAGGGAGAGCAACGCGTGTCCATTTCACAGCCTCCCGCTGCAGCCGCGATGAATATCCAGCCAACGATGCCCAATTTAGCCATTGATTGCAGCCTTTGTTTTTTTTTTTTTTGGCGATATTATTGACCTTGTGACGCCGTTTGTCGAGGGTAAAGCGAACAATTTTTAGCTGACTTTCGCAAATATTTCTGCATTTTATGCCACACGCCATGACATAATGCTTAACTCTTGAGTTCTTAGATTTTTAGAAGCCTTGAAACGGTATCGTTTGTTGACAACTCCCATATAGTATGGCGAGGCCCCTTTAAAGAAGTGTTGATATTTCAAATATATTTATCAGCACAATTATATAAAGACAGCGTCCGCAAGCACGGTGCTTAACAGACTAATTGACCATATTCAGTTGGTGAAGAAGTAATCTGCTGATAATATTTAAATATACCTGCTTACTCAAACTAGATTCAGTAGTGTTGCCGATCCCTCGGTATCGGCAATCTTAGGTACTCTTTTAAAGGAGTAGTTGGGCAGATGGGAACGATCTAAGCCACAGCTTCAATATGACGCTTTTTTGTCGTTACTAATGTAAACTCCAGCATTTTCTATAGATACGTGTCTGTAAAGTTTATCTCTTGGCACTTAAGCATGTTCGGAAGAATTGTTTGACAATATTGAGTACTTCGTACTCAACTATGGGAGAGCAGTGAGCTGTGTTAGGGTAACACGAGGTACTAGAAACTTACTTCAGAGCCTCAACATTTTGCCAAACCTGCAATCGTGAAAGACATATCACTTTAACTCGCGGCATTCACATTTGTGGACGCGAATTTCAAAGGGCTTCATACACTTTCTTTTTTTTAATTGGCATAAAACTGAGTGTGCACATTTCTGCAGGCTTCCTGGGTAAACAGCATGCGGTAATTTGATTTCACTGCACTCCGTATTGCTCTCAATTATCACTTTGCTGGAGACACTACCAGATTTCAAAATCCTTGATGTGCCACTCTCCATTATCCACGTCAAAGTATTTTTTCTCCACTCAAAATGAATGTATACAATTAAAACACAAACGTTGCATGCATTTCGAGACTAACAGTTAACTTTTGTGTGCAAGTACTGAAGCTGGCTGGTAACAGAATAAATAGACATTCAGTTGCACACTCAATACCTTTAATCAGTGAAACTCGCAGAAAACAACAAATTTGTTCAATTTGTTTTCTTGTAATGTTATACGGAGTGCCTTGAAATTCTGCCACGCGAATTAGACACGTTTCTGACAATGTCATCATAATTCGTGTCTGAAGGGTATACCTGTATACGCCTCCGGTGTAGCATGTTGTTTTGTTGAAAGCGTCTCCTTTTGCTTGGATGAGAATAAGGAATACAAAAGAGGCTGCTCACCTTTTGAACATACCATCAACCACTGTATAATGGGAGGTAGGAGGGTGTATTTTAAAGAGAGCGCGCCTAAGAATGAATAAAAGAATAAACTTTATTAAAAGTCCGGCAATTTCCTTCATTACCTATGATTGTGGTTTTTTTTTTTGCAAATAGATATTTAGTCCGCAATCATGTAGTACAGCTCACCAGCGAGTTTATTGTGAATTCTGTACAGATTTAAATGCTTCTACAATGACCACATTGACAATGGAGTTACTAGAATAACAAGGTTATATTTAAGGAACTGTAGATCACAATTCCAGTAACGATAGTGTTATAGTGCTGGATTGTTGTGGAAACAACAAGCATCGTTGGCGTTCCGGGTGTCCCAAAGCCACAATATCACCATTAGCGACGATGGAGGCCTCCCTAAATTTCAAACTGCGGGGGTTGTTTTATGTGCATCAAAACTTAGGCTTACAAACTTATTTCATCTTGCCTCCAGTGGCATTTCATAGCCTTTTATGAACACTCTTTGGCTAACTGTTAAAAGCACCCTTGCAGATGGCCCATTATGCCATAAATAATCACATTTTTGTTAGTAGGTCCAGCATTCACTATGCTATCCCTTGTCATTCTTCAGAAACGTTATCTACCTGCAAGACATTTCATGCAAGTTTTTATGCAGTAGCTGACGACGATGAAAACTTATGTCTGAAGTGGGTAATGCGCCACATGTAAGAAATGATTAGGACCAAGCTTTTGTAATCGGCTGGAACATTGGACGACACACTAACTACGCAATTCGCATTGCGTGATGCCTGGTTGTTTCCTTTCTGATCTAAAACACTGTAATACTCACTACTAACGTGATTCCTTTCCTAATAATAAACCTGCCTAAGGCAAGTTTATAACGCTGTTTCAGCACCAGCTTGGCTCTGTGGTAGAATACTGGACTATACAATGGGCAGCCTGGTTCGAATCCCACTGTTTGCGTGGTGTTTCCATTCAGTAGGATTCCTCTTCTTCCGTGCAATCGTAGTTACGAAACACTGGCAGCTGGCGGCGGCAGACAACTACAGCCCCACACGTGACCCCTTAATGCGATCTCATAACAGCTTCCGCTCTAAAAAAAAGCGTGGGGGGCATTGTAGTTGTCAATGTTTACAACAAAATTACCTGAAGATTCCGACATATTCATTAGGAAACAGCTTGCCTGTGTCAGTGCGTAACTGAACACGAAGCTCGGCATCTCGCTCTCTTTGAATTAAACTATGTGAAGAATAACTGACCATCGCGGCGCTGGTCCGCTCCATTTGGCGGTGACCTTGAAACTAGTCCAATGGGGACCACTTGCCACACTGTCGTGCCCCGGTTTCTGGCGTCATCAAGGTTCCAGCCACAGGCGCCTTCACTGAAGTCACAATCTCCACAGCTGCTCTCGTCGGCGCGATTATCGCAGTCTGGTACGTAGTCACACACGCGGTCACGTGGTACCGTCTTGCCATCTCCACACTGGAACTCGCGGCTCGGTTGCTTGCCTGCGTGAGAGGAAATTCGCGGCACAATGTATTCGGCGCCCAACTGCGCCTGCGGGTAATGTTCGAAACGCTACATCAGAATCATAAGCACTACATCATACAACTATTCCAATGTAAATTGATGCGCCTTCTGCCGACTTGAAGTTTAACGACACCGATAAAAACGAAAGTGACGTTTCAACGAGTTGTTGGACTAGTTCAGTAGAATTATGTCCTTGTTCACAAGAAGCACATCGTGTTTTTGTTTCAGCAATTAACAGAACCAGCTTGATATCTTTTCTCTTTTTTTTTCTTATCTAAATGGCTTTAAAGGTGTTGTACCTAAGAAATGATTTAGTATTTGTTCAGGAGCCTATAAGAACGAAAAACTCAAATAGAAATGAAATAGTCAAGAAAGACGAGTTGGTAAATTTGATATGTCGACTTGAAAGAGACCAAACCCCCATAAAAAGAAATGATCAACAAATCACAAGCAACACAATCAATTACGCCAGAGCCACAGGATATTTTTTTTTATTTTGCTATAGCCTGTGATGCCTCACCGGATATCGCGGTTGTGTGAAATGAGCACCTCAAAAATCTCTAAAACCACATCTTAAGCGAATGAAAAATTAGCATACTAACCAGCAGCTTACGCAGCTTTACGCGAAAGAAAGTTAAGAAAATTATGAACCTCCAAAAACAGCTACAAAACGACATTATTCCTTTGTACGTTATGCCATTTGTTGATTGTACTGGCATACGCGGAACTTACTAGTGTCCTCGCAGCCTGTCGTGTCGATGAGCACGTCGTCGATTGCAAGAAATCCGTCGGCGTTACTACCGGAGATTGCCTCAATGGAAGGTTGCTGTAAGGAACATATTAAAAGTAATTATTCATGAGGTTCTACGTTTTCATGTGTTTTGTGCTACAAAAGTAGCATAATATATGCTTGTAGATAACAGCACCCAAACTGAATCCTTCAGCTCACAGTATCAGTGTCTATGGTCCGTAGAAATATTATTCTGACAGAACTAAGAAATGATACTTTTGGTGAGTTAAATAACACAGCGACTACAAAATGGACAAATAAGCAAATGGGGCATACCAATGAAAAGAATTTGTGTCACTGATAAGAAGTGATACAAGAAAACTCAAGTTTGAAACTGAAGTTGAGAGTAAGTTATGCTATCGCTCATACCATCGATGCATTTTGGGGTTCGCCTGAGCAGGTTATGAACAAAATAATCCTCGTTGGTCAGTAAAATCTCTGAGATAGAGAGGGGTGCCCCGCCGCGGTGGTCTAGTGGCTAAGGCACTCGTCAGCTGGCCCGCAGGTCGCGGGTTAGAATCCCGGCTACGGCGGCTGCATTTCCGATGGAAGCGGGAATGTAGGCCCGTGTGCTCAGATTTGGGAGCACGTTAAAGAACCCCAGGTGGTTGAAATTTCTGGAGCCCTCCCCTACCGCGTCTCTCATATTTATATGGTGGCTTCAGGACGTTAAACTTCAAATCTCTGAAACAGAGAAAATGTACGATGTCATAGCCCGACGTTGTTGTAACAGTGAACAATCTTCATTTGGTCCTAGAGTGCTCCACGATAATATGTCGCAGCACGCAAAATTCATAATCTTTATTGATGAGACACAAACCCGGCACACTCTGTTGGGTCAGTCATGTTTTCATAAGGGTTTACCGCAGCAGCTGGTGTAATGCATGCGCACTCAATAAAAAGAAACGAAGAAGGAAGCGTGATTAATTGAAGTGATAGAGTACACTTCCCTAAGTTTCCTTCGCATATGATTTGAGCAGCGAAGGTCTTAGTTAAAGGAGGAAAGTCAACGTTGCACTTTTAAATACTGCGTAAGAGTGACATCACTCGCTATTTCACAGTAATGATAGCGAAGTCGCAGTGTATGCATACCCTCCTTCAAGGTGATGAAGTTATAAAGGCACAAAAATGTACTCTTAGAAAAAAAAACAGTTCGCGTTCACTAGTCGACAAGCACGAGGACTATAATGGCAATTATCTTGGTAAATTGTAGACGCGAGACACATACTTATATCATCATCATCATCATGAGCCGGACTACGTCCACTGCAGGACAAAGGCCTCTCCCATGTTCCGCCAGTTAACCCGGTCCTGTGCTTGCTGCTGCCAATTTATACCCGCAAACTTCTTAATCTCGTCTGCCCACCTAACCTTCTGTCTCCCCCTAACCCGCTTCCCTTCTCTGGCAATCCAGTTAGTTACCCTTAATGACCAGCGGTTATCCTGTCTACGCGCTACAATTCCGGCCCATGTCCGTTTCCTTCATGTTGTCCATATATCATGTTTAACCTTGATTTTCATTTAAAGTGGATATCTACAGCAATAGAGTGCCTTCGTAATACGTGAACGCATATGCATGTGCGTATGCATTCTTATGCTGTATCACTTGTGTAGAGACAAGATTATGTGCTTTGGTGTAAAGCAGCCTAACTAGAGAGCAAAAATAGACATCTTATACGTTTGCATGACCTGAAGTGGTAACATAATTTCATACATACTTGTTATTCAAGCTGCATCATTCCGAAATACAATGCGAAACAGGATTTCAAAGTTGCCCAAGTCCGTAAATAATTTTTGCCCTTTCCTTATCTGCTGTTCACAGTATCAAGTAGTGTAGGCATAAGTCAATGCGCATGACGTGGCTTTTCGTCACTTCTCTTACGCGAGTCAAAAAATTATTAAAACACATTGACTGTCACTCACCCTTGCTCGGGTAAAGAAAAATTTTCCCTGGTTCCAGGAGTTTTCGTCCCCAGTGACGATTTTGGAGTGAAGCAGCAAGCTGACTCCGTTCAATGTAGCCGGCAGGAAGTACCACAGAGTTACGCATGAGGCTATGTAGCGCCCTGGCTCACGGAGTTCTAGCGACGTACGGTTACCTTCGATTCCGGGACTCCTGTAGAGAAGGTAGTAACCTAGAAACGTGCAAATGAGATTTTGAAGTTAAGGAAGTGATAGTGGCAGCCCAAGTACATAAGCACGATAAGATAATGACTGTTTACTAAGCTTGCCTACCGAGAATGCTGAAGAGTGTGAAAGCATTGTAAAGAATACCTTTTTGTAATTGCATTCAAAGTATTTTGCTTCTGATATATCAATTACAAGGAACGATCGTGCTTTCACAACCTGCGGTTTCTGCCTTGCTGGAATCAAGCATCGATTGGCCAGTTGCTCATGCATTATGTGAGCCACGTGCACAGAAAAAGATGAAGTAATATTTGTGTCATTATTGGCTAGCAATATCAGCGCACTCATTGTGCTGATGCAACAACTAATAATTGTTGGATTTCGACGTTCCGAAACCACGATATCATGATGAGAGAGGCCGCATTGGAGGCCTCAGAAAATATGTGAGAGCTGGGCTTTTTTTTTTTAATTTGCACCGAAATCCAAGCACAAGGGCTTCAACCGTTTGCGCGTCTAATTGAAATTGCAGGCCGCCACGGCCGAGATTTGATACCACGATCTGCGGGTTAAACACTAGACCATTGTGGTAGGTAGCATCACAACTACCCGTTCTTTTTTTATATATGACACTGCCAGTGGTTCACATGCCAGTGATACATTCATTCAAATGACAGTGTGCCAGCACTCACTGAGGCTGTTGGTAGCATTCTATCTTGCCTATTTTGTTTGTTTATCGCTGATATTCCGTTCCTTTGTCCTAACTACTATGAAGTGCTCATATACGAAGATTTAGTGCGTATATATTTCACACATTTCTTTTTATTCAGCGATATGATATATTCCCTTCTGAGTGCATATATATCCAAAACCAGTGCGTAGAGGAAGTCGGTTATCTTTTTGTAGAAAGTGAGCCCAGTTTATTTACGAATCGCTTGAGAAATTATTTCACAGACCTACCTCTTTGTGAGAGGGTGGGCAAAGCAGTGTTTTTTACACGTTACCACCGAACGCCAGAGGGAGCAACTATTCTAACGTAAACAAGGTCACTATCTCCTCAAGTCACCATAATAATTGTTCATTTTCAATTTGTGGAGACATGAAATCGCCTTACCATATCGTTTAGCGGGTAACAACGTTGGCGCTACGTCCTCTATTTATGAGCGATTTCACTGTATTCAGACAGCCGTCTGCTTCATGTGATTATTAGCTAAGAAGGCTACAATTTTCCGTTGCATATTAGTGCTAATTTTAAAAAATTTAGTGGCTATTTTAACAATTTTCATAAACACTCAAATGCACCTTGTATCCTGTTCATACTTACTACTTTAATTACTTCATATACTCATTTGCTAGCATTGCTTTAAGGTAATATGGTAGGGTAAATAAAAAAAACAGAATTTTGTGCACCGCTAAGACCATTGCATTTCGAAGAACAAACCTGTGGAAGTCAGAAGTCGAGCGACCTCTCTAATCAGTTTAAATGCCGCGCCAAAGTACACCTCTTGCGTAATGAGTAGGTGTACGTAAAACTTTGTCTTTGTCAAATTGCGTTCTTAATAAGCTTGTCATTTTCAAAGTACCTTTTTCCAACAAGTATTCAATAGGTTTTGATGAAAGTTTGTATGCGTGATCTACAAGAAGTTGGAAACAACCTGAGAAAATATTGCTAATTTGATAAAAACTGTAGGTGCGAACAGTACACAACAATACGGACCCTCAGTGAGTTTTTACTTGCAGTAATTTCATTTTTCCACAAACCATCATAAACAATGTAGTTGTTTTTAGATCAGACGTAACCCACGAGTCTCTTGAATAAGCTGAATACTACATTTGTTTCGGTGGTCCCTGATAAAAGGTGTACTTTGAATTGGTGAACCCACCTAAATATTTGGCAGTGAGCCAATGAAAGGACAGTCAATCTAGGCATCAAAAAGGGTGTCACTGGATTCCTCGTGGCACTTTTGTGCACTTAAACTTTTATGATAGTACTTGAAGCTGCTTCTAACATACAATATAAAACTGACATACTCCTTATACCCCACCATACACCCCATGAATGCACTTCGCCATTCTCAGCGTGTGCAAAAACATCTGTATTGACTCACCGTCTTCGGTAGATGTTGTGTGGTCTTTCAATACTTGACTGAATGACCCAGCTCGCTCCACCTCAAACTTTGACTCACTGCCTGTTCAAGAATGAAAAGCAAATAACCTTGAAAAAAAAAATGCTCTAGTGTAGGAAAATATGCCATTGCTTGAAAATTAATACGCGACTCTTGAGGTTTCACAACGCCAACGCACTGAAGAGATGTAGTTGATACACAAAAAGTATGAAGTATATACCAAAGCGCAGTCGACTATTTCACTGCACACTAAAATACGCATGTTCTATTTTGCGGGAAACACTCCTTTGTCTTATAGCAGTGATGTTAACAATTTAGCAATGATTGGGACAATAGCTCGCTTTCCACCATGCTACCTCATAAGTTCTTCATTGTATTTTGTGAGGTTAGTTGGCTGCTGTCTTGACTTACGGGTTCGGATTCCATGCAAACCAATGACCATATCTTACGAGTATAGATTTGTGTCTTGGGTTATATCTGAAAAAAATTATAAACATTCGCGGTAAAGTTTTTGACAATTCAAACTGATCCGATAAATTTCAGTGTGAATGGGCGTTTTCAGCGTTAAAGGAATATGTTTAGGCTGCAAATTATCATTCGGAAGCAGCACAGCTTCGTCAGCGGCAGCAACATTTTAAAATTTGCTTTTTTTAATAAAAGAAGCTTTAAGGTAGCATTATGAACAAGCGCAGCTATTTTGTGTTGAAGTATGTGGGCTTGTAGGAATATGCGTTTGTACGTTCAAACTTTTCAGATATCTCAGCACATTTAGTGTGTTGGCATGTTTTTGTCTCCAAATACACTTTTAGCTAAGATTTCGCAATAACGATAATGCCACTGTTAATAAAATATTCTGCATTTTTAGTCCAGAAGATAAGGGCAGCTCGGAGAGAAAGCTCGAAGCAGCTTGACTAGGTCCTAATCTCACCCTAAAAAATATAGGCTTTGAGTTTACAGACATGCAAGTTTTTTTTTAACAGAGCGCATGATTAAGAAGTGACACGAAACGAAAGGATACAGAAAGGGGACCAATTATATTTACTGTAAATCAAAATAACAACAGACTGTCTCTGCCTACTAATAAAAATAAAATATCAAATTTCGCAAAATTTTTCAATACCGAAAAATAAACACATATGAAGTACTGACTTATTTAAAAAATATGAAGCTCCTGAAAACACCCTTTTCATCCCGAAAAAAAGCGCAAACCCCGGAGGCATACATATATATCTGTAAACGCATGGCAAGCGGCCTAAGTTTGTTTGTTATAAGTCATAATGTCAGGCTAATAAATGATAATTGGCTATGGCGGCCACCCAAACGTAGTGGCCACCTGCGTTGTGTGACTAGCTTTTTTTAGCCGTCATGCAGCTGCCGTATGGTCGAAAAAGAGGAGTGTTGTACAAATTGAACAAAACAATCTACGCGTCTCCATGAAGCAAATGAATACGAGTGGTCGAAGCACTAGGAATCATTGGGGTTACCTTAAACACCAGTGACAGTGCCCACTCGAGCATGTAACTGAGCCTCCACTTCCGGTACACAACGCTTCTGCCGCTTCCTGCGCCTTCAACTCCGTGGTGTTCAGAAAAAGTGGTTCGTGACTTCAAGTGCTTAGTAATAAACTATGACAGAGCAGTGAGCCGTCTCGAATCCTAAAAGTAAACAAAGACCAAACGCCACCAGGGCCTGTTCATAAAGTACTACTATGGTACTTCATGACCTGTTGGCGATGCAGCTTTGCCATTTTTTATGGTGTTGTGGCCTTCTATTTTGTTCTCATTAAGAGCCTTTTAGCTTGTTCTTTTCACATCTGTTCTGTTTTGTGCTTTGATTTATTGTCAATAAGTGTCGAAGTATTTACGGTGCTGTAGCCTTTTATTTTGTTTCTTGTCGTCAATTTCTTGGTAAACTTTTTTCACAGATGGGATTTTTTTTTTGCATGCACGTGCCCTAGTGCTGCTCTAGACGCCGAATGGTGGTTTATGGACAAAAGCAAACTTTGGAGCTCTAAGGTCCTTCGTCCCCCCCCCCCTAGAAAAACTTATAAATTACATTTTTGTGTACACTTTAATTATTGTACATTTTGCACTCTGAGCTCATTCGATGCCATGAGGGCAAAATATGACTATTGTGAGCTTCTCGAAACATCAAGAACGTCTAGACAAGGTGCTCACATGTCAGCTAGAGCCGGTATTCATCTAAATACCAGCAAAGGTCGGTGTGCGAGCCATCACATCAAAGTGTTAGGCCACGTTATCAGCAAGCTTAGCATCGAACCTGATCCCGACAAGGTGGCCATTGTGTTGCACTTTCCTCAGCCCATTATGCTAAAACACCGTCGCAGCTTCCACGACTTAGCCTGTTACTTCCCCTTGCTTGTACGTGATTTCGCAACTATCGCACCACCTCTTCACAAACTCCTGACCAAAAGTGCATCAGTTATTTGGAAAGATGAGCGTAAAGCTGCTTTCCACACCCTGAAGCGATGCCTCATGCCTGGGCCAGTTCTACGCCATTTTGATCCCTATATTACCACTGATGGTACCTATATTACCTATATTACCACTGACGCAAGTCAGCATGAAAGCGACGCTGTCCTCCTGCAGCGTGACCTGGCCTCGCAAGAGCAAGTTGTGGCTTACGCGAACTGTACTTTCTCTCCAGCGGAACGGAATTACAGTATCACTGAACAAGAATGTCTGGCTTTTGTGTGGTTCGTGCACAAATTTCGCCCCTATTTGTAAGGCCGCCGCTTCACGATCGTCATGGATCATCATCCGCTCGGTTGGTTGTCCTCCTAAAAGAACTTGTCAAGACGCCTTGGTCGTTGGGTGCACCGACTGCAGGAGTATGACTACAGTGTCACATACTGGTCGGGTCAAAAACACCAAGATGCCGACACTTTTTCAGGCCGTCCACTGTTGCAAATCATGACGCATCTACCTGCTGCGCAGCATCTCTCAGCCAAGAGATCATGCATATGACCAGTCTTAGTCTTATCGAGTTCACTGCACCAGATGACCTCCTTCAGTCCACAGACCTCACATCGCTCCAGCGTGCAGACACATACTGCCGTACAATCATCGATTGACTCACCGGCTTGTTCCCTGATCCCAACAACCACTTACGGCGACAGCTCACGTGTTTAAACTTCATTATGAGTGCTACTTCGGCAAATAAAGCATTTTCCCGGTAGTAGATGTGTCCTAGTCATACCTCGCTCACTTCGACTTCAAGTTTTAGAAGCCTTTCATGACGACCCGACGACTGGCGGCTTGGGTTTTCATAAAACCTACGATCGCATAAAGACTCGCTGCTTCTGGCCTGGCCTTTCCACTAGTGTTTCCAAGTACGTCACTTTCTGTTCGTCAAGTCAGCACCATTCGACATTTCATCTCTCTGGCCCTCTACAACCTCTCCCGTGCCCGGCCGCTCCCTTCAAGATTGTCGGTATAGACTTATACAGACCATTTCCGCGTACCCCACCGGTCACCGCTGGATAGTTACTGCCGTAGACCATCTTACTCGCTGCGCTGAGCCGGCAGCTCTTCCTTCTGGCGCTGCCTCAGAAGTGACCGACGTTGTTTTGCATGCCGTCATCTTGCCCCAGGGCTCTCTTGCGTTCTGCTGAGTGAGCGTGGCAAGACATTTCTTTCTCATGTGCTCGGCTTCGGGAGCGTCCGATGTGAACGGACGTGTTTCGAGCGCGCTCCGACGATATCGACACTTGGCCGGCGCTTCGCTGTCAAGCCATCGCCGCAGCTGTTGCTGCGCTAGCTGCTTGCTCGCTCGTTATCTACCGGCTGCAGCTGATACTGGGAGGCTGCCTTCTGAGCTCGTCGGCGGCACCGCCGCCCGGCTAGCTGCCGGCGGCCATTGCCGCTAGTATCACCCGCCGGGTTTCGAGCTTTCATGGCCTCTCCAGAGTCCTGCGTGCTCCCAGCCGACGTGCCGCTGCCTGAGGATATGGACCTACAGACTTCAGACGACCTGACTGCCTCGGTGACATCGCCGACTTCAACGAACAATTCGGCTGCCGATACCATGCCTTCACGGGTGCTGCTCCTGCCGGACACCAACCCATTCGCCCCACTCCGGGAGCTCGAGGAACAGAATAGCATTGAAGGCAAGTCTGAAAATACTTTTCATCAAGCTCGCATAATTTCTACCGCACCGAACGGAGAGAAACGTGCGCGAGGCTCGCTCATACCGACGCCCGAACGACAGCACACTAGCATACCCAGGGATCACTCCCACATGAGAAGTGCACGTCACACGCTCCTTGCTTCCGCTAGTTACCAAAACGAAGAGGATGGTTGGATACCAGTCAGCTATCGCCGAAAGCAGCAGAACCATGCGGCGGTCGCGGTGACGCCGAGCTCAGGTGCCCCGCGCGCTTATCAGCACACCGTCATTCTTCGGCCTAAGCAACCATGCCGCATCATGGATGAGCAATTCATACGACTAGATAGAGTAATAACTCGCCGCATTTCGGCTCATCTCAACATCCCTGAGGAAGACCCACTTCCAGAGTTCCGGGTTCGCTATTTAGGCTATAGCAACCAGCTCGCAGTCGACGCGGCTGAACCGGAGGTGTGCAACGCCCTTCTCGCGATAGCGTCTCTGCCAATCGGAGGAAAGGAAGTACCTTTTCAAGCATATGAAGCGGTTAATCGCGATCAAATCAGAGGCATCATTCGCAATGCTGGAGACATGACCTCTGAGGAACTAATGAACTCATTACATTGCCGCAAGTGCAAAATCCTGCAGGCACGCCCACTTGGTGACAAAGGCACTGCCATGGTCACATTTGAAGGTAACAGCTTACCCTATAAGGTTGGCCTGCGGTCATTTACGATCCGTGTTTTTCCGTATCGTGCACGAGTGACCGTTTGTGACATATGCCACAAGATAGGGCATCGCAAGGAGCAATGCCCCAATATTTCGGCAGCTAGATGCTCGACATGCGGTCTGCGGCAACACGAAGAGGGTACGCAATGCCCGAACACAGAACAAAAGTGCCGCAGCTGTGGTGGGTCTCACCTGGCCACAG